AATTGCATTCGTACGTGTTGTGACGAAGCGGTTTTTTGCATGCCCAAATCGCCGTGTGAAAGTCCAACATGGCCCCACACTCCCGAACCCGAGTGCGCGGGCGAGTGCGCGGGCGCAAATGCATTTAGAACCCGTGCTGAAATGCATTCGTGAGGTTGGTGACGAAGCGGTTTGTGAATGCCCAAATCTAGCCCCGCACTCCCAAACCCGAGTGCAGGGAGCAAATGCATTTAGAGTTGATGCCGAAATGCATTCGTGAGGTTGGTGACGAAGCGGTTTGTGTGTGTGTGTGTGCTCAAATCGCCGTGAAAAAGCGCAACGTGGCCCCATGCTCCCAACCCCGAGTGCGCGGGCCCAAATGCATCTAAAATCTGTGCTGAAATGCATTCGCGAAGTTGGTGACAAAGCGGTTCGTGCGAGCCCAAATCGCCGTGTAAACACCCCCGACATGGCCCCACACTCCCGAACCCGAGTGCGCGGGCGCAAATGCATTTAGAACCTGTGCCGAAATGCATTCGTGAGGTTTCTGACGAAGCTGCTCGTGCGTCTCCATATCAATGGGGCTAAAGGACAAATCCGCCAGCACAGTATTTACCCGAAGCCCGGCGCCTCAACTCATTCGGCCGAAACGATGAACATGCCGTACAAACCCTGTCAAACCCTGTCAAACCCTAAACCCTAAACCCTAAACCCTAAACCTTAAACCCTAAACCCTAAACCCTAAACCCTAAACCCTAAACCCTAAACCAAATCTACGAGTTTTGACAGCAAAACCTGTCTATGAGGCTGGTAGCACAATTCCGCAGCAACAGTATTTACAAAAACCCGTCTGGAGGCCGAAACGTACCCGCTAACCGCATAAACCTATACAGAGCCCTTGCCGGAGTCTGCTTTTTGCGCGCAGCTCCCCTGTGCACGCAGTCGCCAATGTCCTGCAAGGGCTGATTTGCATGTGAAAGACGTCAGACACTTTCACTTGGAGTGCTTGCGCAGGCACAAATCAAGACATCGACTTGCAAGTCAACTTTTTTTTGCCCCCAGCCTCTTGTGCCCGCAATGCTCGCATTCCGAGCAGGCTTTGCAATCATCCCTTAGGCCTCTGAAACAGGCATATTGTAGTCTAGAAGCTTTGAGAACGACTGTCAAGGCCTGAAGTGAGCCTAAGGTGACGGACTCGACTGCATCACATGTGCTCAAAATTCCCCCGCTTTCGAGGACTTCACCACGGAACATCACTTCACATGGTTGCGGCGGATTCGCTTTGCCGGTGGTGCTGAATCCTGCATCCTCGCTGAGTTGCGGGGTGCCACGGCCATACCCTCCACGTTCTCGAGGATGTGGAACAAGCGGAGGTCCTCCGGCTTGAGGGTGAGACAACGTCTGTGCGCCGCGGCGATCGCCCCGCGAAGCAGGTACTGGGACGCATAGGATTCGAAGGCCGCTTGGAGGCACCGCATGCTTGCATCCGTAAACTTCACTTCCTTGTTGATGCTCTCCAGTGCCTGCTTCACAAGTCTACGAAACGCAGCGTTGCTGACGACGTAATCGTCCCAACGACTTTGAAGAATCCTCACCTGGCTGTCACAATCACGCCTTTGGCCGCCCCAGCGGCCCGTGGCTTTAGGCTTCGGCTGCACGGCTCGCTGCCCTCTGGATGGCCGACCCGCTTTGCGACGCGGTGCGCGAGGCTCCGCGGGAGCTTCCCTCTCCTCTTCCGCATGGGATTCCCCTCCGTCATGGACGTCCTCCTCGTCTTCCGGGGCAGAGATCTCTTCCTCTTCCGGGCGGAGATATGAGGCGATGGCTGCCACCACTCGCACCTCGAAGCGAATGCACGGGGGCACCAAGTGCCAGGGTGAGTCCACCAGCACATCTGGCTCTGCACGAGGCGCTGCCATGGCGCGGAGGAACGGCGAGCACGGGGAAACTTGAACACGAAAAGGCTGTAAGCTCCAGTCGCGTGCAGATTGCGGTCGCAAGGGCTTCCAAAGAAGGCTGCAGTCTCGCAGGCGCGACTACGTTCCGTAATCCCGTCGCTGAAATGTTCCAGTCCTCCTCGTCGCGTCGACTCTCTTGCCAGAAGCAGTGTGCTCCTGTAGTCTGTTTATGATGTTGGATGTGTATACAAAGCTATCGAGCTTCTCGCCTTCAGACAGAGTGATAGTGAATATATGTGCGCGTATGTAACAGCACGAAAACAGGTAATAATCGCAAACCTAGAAGCACAAGCCGTACAATATGTGTAGCGTATGTGTAAAAATAGTGTCTTCTAGCTATACATCTTGCTGTTTCTCCCATTCGAATCTCGTTTAAATAAATATATATATATATACATATAATACATACACATAGATATATAGATATACGCGAACGAACGCAACGGCAGCAGGGGGAGGACGTGGGCCGCAGCTCACGCAAGACCCCCCCTGCTGGCAAAACCTACGAGGCGGGCGAACGAGGGGTTAGGGAATTAGGGTAGATAGGATCTCAGCGGGCATATGTGTGTATATACAAAATATACGATATGATAATATCGCATCGTATATTTCATTTAGTCTCAATATGTATATATGTGTCTATATATATATATACACTCTACACGTACATATATATATATATACGGGAACGCACGCAACGGCAGCAGGGGGAGGACGTGGGCCGCAGCTCACGCAAGACCTCCCCCTGCTGGCGATAACCTACGAGGCGGGCGAACGAGGAGTTAGGCGTTAGGGAATTATAATTGAAGTGCAGGAAGATTGTTTCTCGGAATATCTTTGACGATTCTAATTTAAAGTCTATCCTAAGAAGGCAAGTAGTTGGTGCCCATCTCAGACCTCCGTCTCTATCTATCTCTTCTCTTTCTCTCTTTCTCTCTCTCTCTCTCTCTCTCTCTCTCCCTCTCTCTGTCTCTGATTCTGGCAGTTCCACAGGCGTCCTGGCGCTCGTCGCCACTCATGGGCCTGTCAGATGCATTTCGAGCTGAGCGGAAAATGCATATTGAGATGCCTTGCCTCTAGGTGGAACTCTCTGACGTGTTGTCCTGCACAGTCGCGTTATGCTTTTTGAAATCTTTAAGCAAAGCACGCAGTCCTGACTCGATGAATGGACAAGCTGATAGCCATGTCGTCGAACATACTTCCGCAGCAGGCGGACCATCTTGTCTGATGTGCTTTTGGCTGACACATAGCGCTGTGTCCGGCGGACATCATACTTCTTCAAGGCACGCAACAAGCGAATGAGGAGCTTGTCGCCAGGACTCAGGCATCGCTTGCGATTCACCAACGATCGCTTGCGCACCGGCAGAGAAGAGACGAAGATGGCGCAACTGTGGAAATGCGTGATGTCTCGCGGCATGCTTGCAGCAAGTCGAACGTTCCTAGAGAAACCAAAAAGAGCTCCGTGGTCCTTGAGTCCGAGGCTCTCGGGATGCAGCCATGCATGTCAAAACACGTCCTACATGCATTGGACATGCGCTCCTCTGCAGTGTCTCCGACAGTCACTAACAGTGCAGTCACTCGCATGCCAAGATTTAGGCAACCCTGGTGCACTCAGGAAGCTCCCCAAAATGCACGCAATATTGGCTCAGCCTGCAGAACTGGTGCTCGCTCATGGTTTGCCTGTGAATGGTTTCGAATGAGCAGCCCCGCCCCCCCTTGAGATGTAACCTGGGCGTGTATCCCCTCGCAGAAAGCGTAGAGGAACACAAGCAGCACAGGAGTCTCTTTTCCTACACGCGCACAGCTGTTGTTGTACTCTGCTAGAACCTTGAGCCACAAGCATGGATACATGCAAGTGATACGTGAGACAGACAGGCACCTGGATGTGTAACATCAGTGTTTCACTGTTTCACCCTTCGCTCCATTCAATCCCTGTGCATTTAAGCGGTCTCCCAAAATGCATGCGGCCTCCCCTCACTGTCCCCAAGCCCCGCCGTAAATCTGACCCTACATACATCCGCAGAGCCCGCACCAAATCTGTCCAAATTCCAGCGACCTCGCCCCGCAACGGAATCGCTTTAAATCGCGGCGAAATCGCCAGCGACATGTCCTGACAAGAGGAACACTCGATTGACCCAGGACTGCAGCGGCAAAACTGCTTAGAAGATAAGTGAGAACGCCCATGCATTTACGCATCCTGCAAAAACGCACAAAACTTTCCCCGATGTTTCATCGCTGCCTGTAAATCGCACTCGGCAGGAAGACCGGCGGCGCATCCCCCCTGCCAAAAACAGTGGACCCAGCCCCCGTGCATTCAGGCGGTCTGCCAAAATGCACGGCGGGTTGCATTGTCTGCCCTGACCAGTCCCTCCTGGGACGAACAGCAGACCCTTGAATTCCCTCCAAAAAAGAAACACAGCCATGTGCATTTAGGCGGGCTGCCAAAACGCATGTGGGATTGGCATGTCCTGCATGTGGCCTTTGCACAACCTATCTTTTTCTGGAAAAAGAAGCAAACCCCGTGCATTTACGAGGCCTCTGAAAATGCATGCGCATTCCCGTCCATTGCCCCATATCTGCTGTCGGAGAGAGAAAGACAGAGAGANNAGAGAGAGAGAGAGAGAGAGCCGAGAGCGAGAGCTGTGCATTTGAGCAGGCTTTGAAAATGCACTTTGCTGGATAAACATTGCAACACGGATGCAGCACAGTACGTTCTGACCATGTGTTGCAACAGCCCGACAGAGAGTAATGTGCATTTTGCTGTGCGTCCGAAATGCATGCGAAAGAGTGATGGAGTCTCTCCCTGAAGAAGGCACTGTACACGCATGTGGTTGATGGACGTTCCCTGTCTCCAAACCCCAAACGGAGCGTGGCAAGAGCCAGTGAGAAGGCACCACCTCCTTGCAACAGACACTATCCAGGAGTATCTGTGCATCCCCCAGCACAGTCCCGACAAGCAAGAAACACAGCAGGCTCAATGCACAAGCATACCGTGGTGAAGTAAAACGAAAGAGTTCAAATGGGACTGCTCTACCCCAGGTCTCAGAGCTACCGCAAGTTCAGCTAGTCAGCATCAGTGGAGGAAGAGCTTGAACTGCTGATCAAGCTCATGGCATCGTCTTCGGGCCAGATGTCCTGCCCTTGGACACCATCCCTTCGCGTGAATTTGGCCAGATTGACAGTGGGCAAGGATGTGTACGCCATACACCGAGACAAGCACGGATTCGGGGCTTCCTTGAGGTCGGGAAGGAGCATGGGCATGTTGAGGCTGACCTGTTGAAGTTCCTGCTGTGTCTCCAAGCTCAATCTGTTCCGGATAGGAGATTTGATGCGATTGGCGACTGCCCAAGCCCTCTCGGCAGCTCCCTGTGATGCCACGGAGGCCCATAGCTTCACCGCCACCTTCTTCAGCAGCGCGCTGGGCTGTCGATGCTGCCACCATCGGATCACATTCTCCAGAGAAGCTGTTGCATCCGGCCATTCTCGCAATCTGGCAAACATGCCACGTCGCTCTCGGTACTCCTGCAAGTGACCACAAACTGCTTCGAGGCATTCTGCATCCGCTCCGTAATACATCGGCAGCAAAGCGTCAGTCGCAGACACAAAAGCAGCTTGCAGCCACAGCGGCTCCTCACCACCTGCGGCTAGTCTCGCAAGATGTCGTGGATCGAATGCCGCTGCAGCTTTGACGGTCTCATCGCAAAGCCTGGGCAGCATTCATTTATTTTACCTCAGTGCAGGAGACCTCCGCCGTCATGCATGTGCTAAACGCATGAGAAACACGATCTTCAACTTCGTTCCTAACCTTTAGCAGCTTGAGGACATTGCGCGGTCTGCAGCCAAAACACATGTCCAAGCGCTTTCGCACAATCTCCTTCAGCTCATCTCGACGGGCCCTGACTTGAGCTTCGGTCTCGTTCGTGTCACGAAAATCCGCTGTCTGCACAACCTCGCGCAGCTGGGCCTGTGCCAGATTCCAACAAGATTGCACTTGGGGTGTCAGGTGGAAGGTTTAGGGTTGCAGCTGGGCCTCTGCCAGCTTCCAGAGATTGTACACCTCCGGCAGGCGCGCACAGGCGCACGCCTTCGACAACTGCGTCAGCAAGAAGAGCACGGGAAGGAAACGTCTCGCCCGAGCTTCCAAGGCATGCTGCTCCCAAACCTGAAGCATCTGGGCAGCTCTTCGACGCTGACGGTCTGTATGCCCCAGGCGCTCGACACCGTGAGCTCGAGCTATCCTGACCACTGCGGCCTTGTGCTGCAGCCATTTGCAGGTCATTGTGGTCCACGAGTTGTGACGAGTCTTGCGGCGATGTTGTATCACAATCCCTGCAGCCTGGGCAAACTTGACAGGGGAAATCTGTGCCCTGAACATGTTTCGGTACAGGCGACAATTCCGAAGTAAGACCACAGACAAAGTGACAATAACATGGGTGCACATCTTGAAACACGTACCGGGATGTACCGGAGACCCTTGTGCATATTGACGGCTTCCCAAAATGCACTGAGCATGTGTGCATCCAAGTTTGGGGTCCCTCCAAAGAGTCCCTGGCCACCAACCCCGCGAAACTGCGAAGACTTCTAATGCATTTTGGCAACGCTTCACAATGCACAGGCTGACCGAAAGGAGGCCCATGTGTGCTCTGAACATGCTTTGGAAGAGAATTGTAACCAGTGACACAGTGACTCGTGACAGTAACCTGGGTGCACATCTTGAAGCACGTACCGGGGTGTACCGGAGACCCTTGTGCATTTTGACGGCTTCCCAAAATGCATTGAGCATGTGTGCATTCAAGTTTGGGGTCCCTCCAAAGAGTCCCTGGCCACCAACCCCGCGAAACTGCGAAGACTTCTAATGCATGTTGGCAACGCTTCACAATGCACACGCTGACCGAAAGGAGGCCCATGTGTGCTCTGATCATGCTTTGGAACAGAATTGTAACCAGTGACACAGTGACAGTAACGTGGGTGCACATCTTGAGGCACGTACCCGGGATGTACCGGAGACCCTTGTGCATTTAGGCGGCTTCCCCAAATGCACTGAATATGTCTGCATCCAACTTAGGGGACCCTCCAGAGAGTCCCTGGCCACCAACCCCGCGAAACTGCGAAGACTCCTAATGCATTTAAGCAGTGCTTCAAAACGCACACGCGGGACCAAACTCCAGAAGAGGCCCAGTTCCCCCCTGAACTTCGTCTGGCCTAGAATTAGAGTCAGATGAAGCTCGGCAAACAGACAATGCATTTGTAGGCGTCGTGAAAATGCATCAAACAAGGTGCCAGGTCAGGCGAACGTGTTCAATGCAATCCACCGATGTTCCTAAAGTTATATGCAAACTGAAAGAAGCTATGAATGTCAGACAAGCGGCTCTAACCTTGCCGATCAGCTTCTTCTGTTTCCGGAGCCATTTGATGGCAGCATGGATCTCAGTGGTCGCGTTTTTGACATACGGCATTGCTTCGCGAATGTCCTTCAGCAACAGTTGCGCTCCATGCTCGTGGCAGCGCAATGCCAGGAGCGGATGCGGAGATTGTTCTGCCAAACGGCGTGCACATGCAACCATGTTCTTGGCGTTGTCACCACATATCGAAGCTATCGAACTGATTTCCACCCAAGGACGAAGAAGGTCTGAAAGGGCTTCCGCCGTGCAGTCCATCTCAGTGGTCTGGCAATGCGCCAGGTGCAAGCAGGTGCCTTGCAAGTTGCTTGCAAGGATGTTGAAAAACCCGCAGCTGTCAACCGTCGCACCATCTGCCGAAATCACCCAAGGGCCATCTGCTCGGAGCTTTTGGACCAGTGTCGTCTGCAGCTCCTCGCTACAAGCATGCAGAACCTCGCGGACGCGCTTCCGATCAGGCGGTTTATAGTCTGGAGCTACCGCTTTCAAGAACATTTTGCACACTGGGTTCTCAATGCTGTTGAAGGGTGCATGCTGATGAATAATGGAGAGTGCATGAAGTCTCTGCAAGTCTTCAGGCTTGCGCGGCTCGACTCCATCGTCAGTCACAGCATTCACGAGATCATCCAAGGCCGGATCTGCCTTCAGGAGCTTGTTCCATAACTTTGCAGCAGAATTGCCTTGGCCTGCTAAAGTAGCATAGAGCTCCGTTGTGTACTCTACTGGCTTCGTGCAGCACAACACACGGTTCCCATTGCCACGGTACTTTTCCAGCTCGCTGGCTTTCTGCTGTGTGAAGGCCAAACCCTTGGATTGCAGGAACTTGGTCACGTCCTCTTTGTTCGGGTTGGACCGATGTAGCACATGCTCTAGAGCACGGTACAAGCCGGAGGATTTAGAAGACCAGCTGCAATTCAAACAGCAAACAAGATGCTCTTGTCTCTTGCCCTTTTTCTCTGGGCCTACACGAAGAACGTGCTCCTCCAGGATAGCCACTTGCTGGCTTGTTACACCCCGGAGGTTCAGGGGCAAGACGCCGGCATCATCCGGAATCTTGTGTCCCAGCCCTTCTAGCTTCGCACGAACTTCCGGAGAAAGCTCTGAGACCATGGCTTTTAAAAGGCATCAATACCAAGTCGGAGGACAAATGCAAATTGGTTGAAGTCTGACCTTACACAGCTAAGCTGGATTGAACGGCAACCCGGTGCATTTATGCGGGCTCCAGAAATGCACTGCATTGTTCTTGCAGGAGTTGGCCATGTTCAAACGTGTTATGAATCATCCCATGCATTTTGCTACCGCGACAGAATGCACTGCATCAATCCGGCATGCATCGCTTTCATGATACGCTTGGGGCCACATGATATTAGTGCTTCAACCCGCTAGAGATTTGAGGCCTGCGATTTCGAATCCAAATCGCCGCCGATTCTAAATCGCGCGATTCGGCCTACTCAG